ACTGTAGGCGCCCACCACCACACTCTGCTAATTTTTTTTGTATTTTCAGTCGAGACGGGGTTTCACCATGTTAGCCAGGATGGTCTTGATCTCCTGACCTTGTGATCTGCCTGCCTTGGACTCCCAAAGTGCTGGGATTACAGGCGTGAGCCACCGCGCCCGGCCGACAATCTCCTTATTTGAAGGATGAAAAGTTGAGGCCAAGAGGGTACTGCGCAGACCATGTTAGAATGGATCCACTATCATCTTTTTAGCTCCCCACATAATTACTTGCTTCTTCACGAGTTACTTGGTCTAATTCAGTAAATAATTAACTGGCTCTCACTGGTTCTTCCATGCCAGGTAAAACTTGCATTAAATAAATGTGTATGCTTGTCTCCAGTGGACCTGTCTTATGTCAATTTAATTCTCTGGCCCAGCCAGAAAAACAAAGTCTAAAGGAGAGCTTAGCTTCCCTCCATGACCCTCAATGGTGACTATAATCAAACCACATCTTCGAGGCCAACAATACCACATTCTATGGCCTTGCAAGGACATGATCTCCCTCCAGCACGGCCTCTCTGGAGGAGGGGGAGGCAAGAGTGGTGAGATCTCAGGCCTCCTCATGCTACCTCCTATTAGTTATATAATCCCTGGTGTCACCTCTCCCACCACACTGTGGGCTCCAAGGAGCAGGATTCACATGGGGTTCGTTTGTCCTCCCTGTCTTCAGCAGACTCCAGGCACTGGTATTCCCAGAGTAAAGAGCTCACTGTCTACTTCCTGGATGAATCACTTTCCCCCCAAGCCTATGAAGTGAGCGCAGTGGTGGCCTCAGCTCATGGCCGAAGGACAGGCTCCAAGAGCCCTGCGGACTCTGCTGAAGGCCCATAGGAGCTCCTAGAGGCCAAGGGCAGGACGGAGATCAGAGAAGCAGCTGCTCAGAGAACTCTAGCCCTGAATCTCATTTTGCCACGTGTGAAACAGGGAAAACAACCTACCCTCATCTGCCCGGGTTGTTAGGAAAATCCACTAGACGAAGATGTGCAGTCACTGGCTGGGAGCAGGACACTAGCTGCCCAACAGCACAAGCGTGGGGCATGGCACTGTCCCCACTGTCCCCATCCCTGACCTAGAAGCTAGAGCCTCACTGCCCTGCCACTCCTGGACACAGGACAGGGGACCAGAACTGGGACTGTGGCCTCTCAGTAGGGGCTGGGCGAGTAGCCATCTGCAGCCACCTGGATAGAGACATTTCCTGCTCACTCTTCAAACTGCAACCCAGGCCATGTGCCTACCAGAAGGACAACTACAAGCATAACAGTTAAACCAGGCTGTGGCCCTGCAGTGTCATCGCTGTCCTCACTTGAGGTCTGGCTCCTCTGTTCTTCCATGGCCCCTCCCCATGGCGCTCCACCCTAGTCTTTAGAAGCTTCTGCCACAAGCTCAGGGAGCCAGTACCGAGGTGCAAGTAGGAGCAGGTGCAGCCTCTGCTGGGTGGAGGACAGGTGCCTCGGGGATCCAGTCCAGAGTAACTGACACCAGCCCTGAGGATGTGATCTGTCCTCCCACACCTGCTAACACAGCCCTCTGAGGTTTACACGGGGTTGCTGAAGATTTTTATCTCCTCTTCACTTTACAGGCAGGAGCTGGGGCCACACCAGAGACACAGAGCCAGAGGGGGAGCAAGGCAGGGCCCAGCCATTCATAGCCTTCAATCTCAGGAGTCCTTCACATCCTGAGAGTCCGGAATTCTGAGCCGTCAGAACTTCTCAATTCCTACTTTGATAGAGAGAGGAATGGCGTGGAAGGACCTGGCACGCCAGGTGACTGGACCAGCCCAGCACTGACAGAGTCAGGACCTGGTGTCAGGAACTGAGCTCAGCTCCAGGCTCATCTGAAGTCACCCTGACAGCCTGAGGACGGAGACCTTACCTCCATTCACAGGTATGGTGGGTGGCAGGGACTGGCCCCAGCTGACCACGGTTTTCCAGGTGCACAGCTGTGAATTCAGTCCTCCCTGCCGCCCTCCCCTACTGTCTCATCTGGATCCCCTGGTCATCTACTCCCAGTACCAAAAACTCCTGTATCCTTGAAAATTCCTAATACCATGAAGAAACAAAAATACATAGCAATGTGATGTGTCATGTTTTACATCTTAGACTAGTAACGAATGAAAGCTAAGTATGGCAAGGGTGTAGGGGCACAGGCACATCTGTGGACTACGTGTGAGTAAGCTGGGTTCAATGGTTTTTTTGGAGGAAAATTTGTGAACATTTAAAGAAACTTCTGAAGTCATTTATCCCACAGAAGGAGAAGTAGAGAAGTAGAATTCAACTTGTAAGGAGTTGCCCAATAAGCTGGTTCGCATAGATACGTGGACACACGATACATACAAGGGTATTTAGTACAACGCTGTTGGAATTAGCAAAGGCAAAGTCAGGATGGGATCTAACCAGCTGCCCCTAGGCAGCAACAGTGAATTAAAATGTGGCTCACCCATGCAGTAAAATATAATACCCTTGTTTAAAAGAAGATCAATCTGAATGTACTGCCATAAAACATTTAATGTGATTTGTGTTAGCTCCAAAATTTTAAGAAACAATTGTGCATTGAAATGCATTTAATTAAGGCAAGACTGAGGGATCAAAGCCTCCTTTGGGACATATAGAGTTCACATTCCCAAAACTGTGAAATTCACGTTGCTGGCCTTGTCTACACTGGTCATCCACACATTCTCTCTTCAGGGCCACTGTCCTGACACAGTCATTCTTCTACTTGTCTCAGGTAAGTTCATCCACTGTAAACTATTTTAAAAGTCAGTTGTGTAATTTTTGAGAGGTCAAAATATTACTGCTTTTCTAAATTTAGCATTAATTTGTAGAAAGACAACATGCAAACTCTCATAGTTCCTGTAATCTTGCTTTGGCATTTTTTTTTTTTTAAATAATATAAGGAATCCTAAAAAGGGCTGTTAGCAAAAACCGCAATCAATCTGAAAGAGACCTAGAAGTCTGCACATTTTATACATAATATGTCCTTGCACTCACACTACTACCAATCTCAGTTTACAAAGTCAACTCACAATGAGAACTTTACACCGCCGCGAGGACTCACCAGTGGCAGGACCGCTGAAGGAAAGCGCGAGCACCCGGTCCTGCCTGTGGAATGCAGAGGGGACACACGGGTGACAGTGCAAGATACAAACTGCAAGCACGTTCGTTAACTGCTTCCTTCCACTTTCAGGGCAGAGGAAATGAAAATTGTAAAAGACAGCGTTGGAAAGTTTTTTCACTGGCTGTTGGTTAAACCCGTCTCCAAGGAACACGTTTAAGAATGTAAACATGGGGTTAATTCTATTAACTAACTAATTAATTAATGAGAGAGGCAACCGCTCTGTGTCTTCCGGAGGTTCACTCCATAGTTTCCACCTTGACTCCCTCCCTCTCTCGATTCTGCAACTTCCCTCCATTCGCGGGCACCGGACAGCCAGGGAGAGCGCGCTCTCTGCTCCCTCCTGCCCGGCCCGGGGACCCAGTTCTTCCCCTGACTCCGAAGACGGGTTCGTCCTGCCCAGACATGCCCGGCCGCAGGTGACCAGAGCCAGGCACCCGCTCCGTGTTCCCCTGTCTCCCTGCCCCATCGTGTTCCCCTGTCTCCCATACCCCTCGCCAGGTCCGCTCTTCTCCTGCCAGGGACCGCGGCGGGGACTCACCGGCGGCAGGACCGCGACGATGACGACGACGAACTTTAGGGTCTTGGGGATCGGGGCCACGGTCTGGTTACCGACGCCGTCCTGGGTCCTGGGTCGCACCTTGCCCCGGCCATCAGGCGGCCGGGGCGCTCTGACCCCAAAGTCCCCTAGCGGTAGGAAGCGCTCCTCATCCCCTGCACCTCTGGTCAAACGCCCAAAAATCGATCCGAAATCGTGGGCAGGGTTCGTGCGCCTGGAGAGGTTCCCACCGCTGCACTGCCAGAATCGGAGTGCGTATCTGCTTTTATACCTGCGGGGAAAAAGGCGTGGTCACTTGTCACTTCCAGGAGTCACTTCCAAGCACTCAGAAAAGGGCCATGGCCTCCCCTAGCACCTCCAGGAAGGCCCGGGTTGTGGGGGTGGGTGCGTGGACGGACAGGATCTAGTTCTTTCTGGTGGCGGTGACCCTGGGCCTGTGGTTTGATTCTGGGTCCTGTCCAGGCTGTGGCCAGCAAAAGGGGAAGGAACAGAGGTGCTGCCCACTGCCCTGCTGTAGTCTGGGTAGTGAGGTTCAGAGGAGGTACTGGAGGCCCCTCCTGAGCCTCCTCCCTCCCAGCGAAGCCTGTCTCTCCTCTTCTTAAACCTTGAACTACCTCCGGGCCTGAGCACTTCAGTCCACTCTTAGCTTCGGCTCCCACTCCCTCCTCCCACAGTGGCCTCACTGACCACTACACTTACGCCACTGCCTCCAGTCCCCTTGCTGCTGTGACCCAGCTCCAAGCTTCTCTGGCAGGGGCTTGGCACCCCTCAGTAGCGGGTGCCTGGCACCAAGGAGGGCCCCAGTGAACATATGAGTGGGCAGAATGAAGGACACAGGGGCCATGATAGGCACATACAGAGGCTGAGGAGTAGGTAGGAGGCAGAGGAATCCCGGGGGCATCCCTAGCCACAGCCTGGCACCCTTTGCATGGTCGAGGCACAGACACTCCCTGACCAACCTTGAGGGCTCTAGTACTGAGGCCCCATGGAGAGAGGAGGTCCAGGGGAGTGTCTTCCAAAGCCTGTCCCCAAGTCTAGTGTCTACCCAGGTCCAACTGTCTGACCTTGGGCCACTTACCTCCCCATGGAGTTAAGCACACTGCTGCTGTGAGGACAGACCCAATGTGTGGTATTGAAGGGTGCCAGCTGGTGAGCCTAGGCAGTCAGGTCAATGGCACGACTCCTAGACCCTTGAGGTCAGTTGGCTCCTGACCCCTCACATGGTGGATAGAAGAGGATGGCACTATAGAAACAAAGATTTTTTTCTGTTCATCAGAAACCTGGGAATGAAATGTCATCCTCTCTACAGGCTTGGATTAGAGCGATGGAGCACCCTGGGCACCTGCCAGGCCCCAGGCACTGAGTTAGGGTCAGAAATGTGTGCCAGGTCCCAGGCACTGAGAAATGCGTAGGGTCAGGAATGTGTGCTGGGTACAGATCCAGGCAGGAGGTGAGAGGACAGGGACTTCAGGAAGACTGACAGCATTAACACAGAGCCACCAGGGCCTACAGGAAAGTCTTTAGAGCACCTCAGGCCCCTTGGCCCTGGAGGGTGGACCACACAGTGTAGACTAGAAACCAGACTGCAGGTAACGATGCATTCTCTGTGCCCTATGTGGGACACTGACTAGGGCTAATAGCAAAAGGCTGTGAGCACCTCCCGGGAACTGGGCCTTTAGACTATAAAGTTTCCATTTGAGAGGCTCTTACTAGCTTGCGATGGAACACTAACTGATGCTCCCCCTGTGACTGAAGGACATAAAATAATCTTGAAACCTGAAAAACTGATCACATGATGTCTTCAGTGATCTTGGAAAAGCTGTAACGGGGAGGGCAGTCCCGGAAGAGTTCTATTACAAAATGGAAATGGTTTATATGGCATCCTGGTGCCTGAGGAAGGCAAAGAGGAGACACTCATGAGCAGGGAGCCTCTGTTCCTCTCAGACTGACTCTAGAACTGGATGAGGAGCTGCTGGATTCTAGGGTCACTTGGACACTTCCCTATACACAGCTCTTTACTGACTGACCAAGAGCTACTCAGTTTATAGACTGTTGTTCCTAGGTGAATGGACAACATCCTATTTGGAAGGCCACCCTTCTGATTGAGGAAGGCAAAGGCAAATCGGCTAGGTGGGTTGGATTGCATGCTGTTTTCCTAGTGTTGATGGAAGATTTGAACAGCGGCAAAAGCCCCTGTACTTGGATTTTTTTCTGGCTCATGGACAGTCGTCAACGTCCCGGTCATAGAGTTGGGAAGGAGAATGTGAAAGTTGATCGCACAAATTGGGTCATTCTAAATGTCAACTAAAACAGAGTCAAGAGGTCATGCGGAAAAAAACATCACTGTATTACCCCCAAACTGCAATTTTTTGTAAGCCTGGTAGCCATAACCTGAAACTATTAATAGTTCTATCTAATATCTATTGACACAACCTGCTGCTGCTCTAAGACCAGCTTGACCTACTACAATCACTCACCAGTCAGAGCCTGCCACTTCAAATTTGACAGCGCCAGTGAACTTTCTGGAAAAAAAAATTTTAGTATTTCTCTTTTTTTTTTTTTTTTTTTTG